TAGCCACTCAGACAGAGAACTGGAAGAAAGGGGAAGAAGAGAAGAAAGGGGAAGGACCGTCTAGAGGCGGGAATGGGGGATATAAAAGGAGAGGTAGATGTTTTACCAGGTGGTTGGGAAATTATTTGGGTAGAGGACCCCTGGACTGGAAAATGGGAAAAGGTCTGGGTCCCCAGAGAGGAAGCCGATTACAGAAGGAGAAAATGGCTCCCACTGCGTCCTCCTTACTGCGGTGAGTCAGAAGCCCGAGAGTGGCGCAGGAGACTCCAAGAGGAAAAGGAGGTGGTGGAAAGGGAGGAGAGAGAGAGGCGGCTATGGCGTCTGGAGGAAGCCCAGCTGATCCTACCATTTTGGAAGAAACACTGCACTGCCTCTGACATGAATGAAGAAAACTATGCTTTTTGTTTCTTTGTGGTATGAGTAGCAAAATGTGGCTTAGGTCTGAAATGTCTTGTCCTGCTACATAAGAGTTAAAAAAATACTCAATCAACTAGTTGTTCCTGACTGTGGTTACAAACATTAGCATGCAAGTTATATTAAAAGCAATACTGTGCAGATAGATGCCATCTGCACTCACACATGAAATTTAAATCTGTAGTTACAGACTGAGTGAATGATACACCCCTCGAAACTCTGCTTAGATTGATATATTTCACTTAAATCAGATGCACTTAAAAGGAAAACATAGATGAGGATACAATGTAATTTAAACAAGTGGAAACTGAGTAACACTTTGCCTACATTTTGTTTTATAATTAAGGTTTCAGTCTATCAATATACTGTAGATATATAAATAACTCTCAAAATAGAACACAACAAACAAGTTTCTTATCAAGTCACATAGCAAAAAAAGTATTTTTTCTAAAAATCTGTTCACAAAAATAATCGTTTTGAAATCCGTAATGTGCAAATTGTAAACTGCTGCTTTGTAAATGCCACTAAGTGCTTAATGGTGCAGCATGTTATTATTTTAAATATCACCAAAATTATATAGTCTGAATTGTCTTTAGATTGTAGGTTTCTTCCTGGGATATTTTGAGCTGTTGTTTTGCATTGTTCAATTGCTCCTCAGATTCTTTACCACCATTTTTCAACTCCTCTGAAAGGATAATAATCTTCTCATAGGTATAATCTTCTCCTTGAATCTGAGATGTAAGAAACTGTGAACTGTATGAAGGCTTGTTTAAAAACTGCGGGAAGAAAGACAAATACATTTTTCGTCCATTTCCAGCACTTTCAATAGTTACTTTAAAACAAGATACACATATTGTTTGATGAATGGCTTTCCCAGAGGAATGAAAATCATTAAAATCCTAAATGTTTATTTTAAAACATTTTTTAGCTTTTATATTATGAAGCCCACACTAAATGCTACAAACCATTTATCTCACAAATCAGTATCCTTGCAAGAATTCATAAGTTGAATCATAGCTAGTTTTTTATTCAATAAACTGCTAATGCCAACTAAGGTTATCACCCACTAATTCAATGGTGGAAATTCCATGGACCCAATTATCCTGTTCTAGTGAACACCCCGTCCCCATTCCTAGGTTCCAGAAAGTCACATCAGGGCAAAAGGGAGCCCTAGAGAGTTTCAGAACCTGAAACGGGGGAATGGGAAGCTTTCAATTATCTCCAGCGCCTGGATCTGATTTATGCTGGTGTAACTGCACCAGTAGGATTTTGCCCAATATTTAATAGAGGTTAAAGGACCATATTTACAAACCATAAAAGAACAAACCTCTTTGAAATGCTGTGGCAAAGAATAAGAAGGAAAGAAGACATATTTGATACGTCGATAAATACGGAAAATCATAAAGCAGCAGCAAGAAAATAATATCAATACTAATGGTAGGATAAGGATCAGTAGCACTGGATTTATACCTGTGAGAGAAAAGAGAAAAATCTCAAGTCTTTATTCATTGAGAAGTATATGATTGACATGTATAAATAGAGTCATATCATTTTGAACCAACAACCTTTTGTTTTAAAAGCTAAGTACTTCATAATATTTTTCATTACAAATTACAACCATAGCAGGACTTAAATTTGCATATAGCTGCACAGAAGAAATGAAAATATTTCCCCCCCATTATTTGTTTGTCTCATTCTAAGTGAAGATAATATACCAGTCCCATTTAAGGGCCACTTTAATTCATTCATGCCTACAAGATTTAACTTTCTGTTCTATATTCAACTTTTTCTAATTGATATTTAGATGAACTTACAAAACACAGATGGGAAGTATGCTGCTTGCTCACCCTCAGCTTATATGGGAGACAGTGCCAATATGTGAAGTTAGTAGAATTCACTTCTGTGTCTGTAGAGTATGGTGTGGCTTAGACTTCACTGGAGGTATGAATCTACTCTGTAGCTTAGTCCCAGCTTTACAGGACCTACCTGGGATACTGAACTGACCCTCACTCCAAAATAAATCCATCATTTTTGCTCAAACTGACTACAACTAAGAATCAATAAGCTGCTTAAAATCAGAGTCACCAACTGCTGCTGTATATCTGGATCTGTATACTGTATCTGGATCAAGGTACATCAGCAATTACATTGCTGATGTACCTTGGAATATGTGGCAGTGTTATTGAAACTGATTTAAAGTCATGTGGCATTCACATAGTATTTGAATTACTGTGTGCATTCCCCTTGGAGCAACTTTTTATCCAGTGTTTTTTCAATTGCTGAACTGATGTTGAAGACTACACTTGCAATTTAAATTGTGTTTATTTAAACTACAGTATTGCATTTTCAAGACATTGACAGACAATGATGTTTACATAACAATCTTGGAGCTCTGTGTCATGCCCAAGAAACCAACATTTTGAGCTACTAATTTTTGTTATGTTACCACCTATGAATTTGTTTGTTTAATATTTCTAAGTGGCATAGCTAAAAATAAGTTAGTTTTTATATATTCGCGAAGGCTTTCACGGCAGGGATCTAATGGTTGTTGTGGGTTTTTCGGGCTCTTTGGCTGTGTTCTGAAGGTTGTTCTTCCTAACGTTTCACCAGTCTCTGTGGCCGGCATCTTCAGAGGACAGCACAGAGGAGTGCTGTCCTCTGAAGATGCCGGCCACAGAGACTGGCGAAACGTTAAGAAGAACAACCTTTAGAACACGGCCAAAGAGCCCGAAAAACCCACAACAACCAAGTTAGTTTTTATTTCAAAAAGAACAGCTCACTGGCTTTGTAACACTGCTGATTGGAGAACGTGGGGAAGGGGGAGAGAGAAGGAAAAGAGGATTGAAAACTACATGTCACCAAAGCTTCTTCTCTTTCTTCTTCTCTTTCTCCCCTTCTTCTCTCCCCTCCTCATTCCCAAAGGAATGACCCTCTCAAGCTGAGATGGAGAAATAGTTTAGCTCTTGAAAACAGGGGGCAGGATCACATCTCAAAAGTGTTTTAATTTTAAAAAAAAGAGTAAATGCACATTTATTTCCTCAGTGCAATCCTTTAAGACTGCCTGTGAATCAGTGACTAAATGATTCAGCAGTAAAGTAGACTGGATTTTTTAAAAAAAGGACACAAGAGTCCAATATGATACAATGGTAATTAGCATTCAAAAAGATGGGCGAAACCAATTCAGGAAAAATTTATGCCAACAGAGGTGTTAATATATGGTGAATCACTAGAAATTAAATTGATTCAACATCAGAGTTAAAATGGCAAAAGAGCAAAAAAATGGGTCCCTCTCAAGAAAACCATAATTCCTTGTTAAAATAATTCATGCTTCCACATGCGTCATGAATTTACCTTTTCTATATCAATTTAAAAGATGCTAAGTCTGATTTGAATACAGGGCTTTTTTAAACTAATATAACCAGCTTTTCCCCCCTAATGTAATCAGACATAGGATTAAACTGCATGATTTATAATAGATTTTATAAAAGTGATTTTTATAAAGCAGTTGATGCTTTCTTTAATATGATCTGTATGTGGTGAGGAAGAGTACAGAATTTTTAATAGTGTTTCTTATGGGCAGGCATTTAATCAAACAGCATTACCAGCATAAGATGCATTACTTGTTCTGACACAAAAAGGTTCACTCCATTCTCCACTTTTATTGAACTCTTCAATATATGCTTGAGCCTTAAGGCAATATGTTGTCTCAGGTTCCAGGCCAGATATGGTTTCGAAAGTGAATGATGTATTTAATTTTCTACCCTAAAAGGAGGAAATACAACATTACAGCAGGAAGTAAACTGAAAAGACCACTCACACATCACAACAGGAAACCACATATCCAGAAACTCTAGTAAGCATTACCTGTTTGTCACTATAGTCTTTCTTCCAGATGTGAATCCTGTAAGCCACAGTACTATAAAAAACTTTTATGGAATATCTTGCACCGTTATGTATAAAATAAGGATCTGTGAGCTGTACACTCAAGACACTAGGTTGTGAGGCTTCAACTTGTATATCAGGTGGACTAATCTTTGCTGAAAGAGAGAGAGAGAGATAAAAGAGACATAGCATGAAACAGATGGTGGAAGTAGCTGGTTACCCCTAGATCTTTACACACAGGATTGTAATATAGATGAAGAGAGTGAGAGAGCACCATGACCAAATATGTGGGGCAAATGAAATTTAACTGAAACCAGGTAGCCCTTTTGAAAGGGAAGGTGAGGCTGAAGGTCAGATTTTTACAATAAAATGTAGATTTTAAGGAAGAAGTAAAACATGTTGTTGTTATGTGCCAAAAGTCAATTTGGAAGAAGCTATAAGAAAAGACAGGACAATTACAATGATTACAAAGAGAGAATATTATCCAAACTTCCCCCAAAATATTAGATTTGAGGCAAGGTGGTTCTATAATACAGTGGTGCCTTGACTTACGACCATAATCCATCCGTTCCAGAAGATGGGCGTAACTTGAAATGGTCGTAGGTCAAAGCACAATTTCCCATAGGAATGTACTGAAATGCAATTAATCCATTCCAGACAAAGCAGACAAAGAAAAAAAAAATAACCAAAAAAAAAATCACTGCAAAACTCATTGGAAACACGATTAATCCCTTCCGGCCAAAGGGGAGGTGGGGAAGGAAAGCAATCAAGTGTGCAAGACCCATCGGAAATGCACAGAAATCAAAGGGAGCAGACTGGAAATGTAAAGAAAACAAAGGAAAAAGCAAGGGAAGCATGCAAGACACATTGGGAATGCACAGAAAACAAACGGAGCAGGTTAGAAATTCAAAGAGAACAAAGGGACCAGGTCAGAAATGCACAGAAATCAAAGGGAGCAGATGGGAAATGCAAAGAGAACAAAGCAAAAAGCAACCAACCCCCCCAAGACCCATTGGAAATAGGGGAAACACCCCCAAACAAACAAACCCCCCAAGACCCATCACAGCACGGAAACATAACCTCCCAGCCCAAATCCATGCTGCAAAACACCCAGAAGTTTTTAAAAAGCAGAAAACAGCACTCTACCTTATGAGGCGGCCTCCTACGATTGCCCACTCTCTAACTGCTGGGTGAAAGAGCTACAAAGAAGCAGCCTTGTTGCCACCTACAGTTAGCTATTTGAATTTCCCACCCTTTCTCCCTGCCTTTTTTCTGTTCGTAAGTGGAAGCTTCGGTCGCAAGTAGAAGCAAAATTTTGCGGCCAGAGCTGGTTGTAAGTCGAAATGGTCATAAGTAGGGGCGTTCGTAAGTCGAGGCACCACTGTATAATGTTTTTGGTATGTCTGGATCCCATGTATTCCAAATCAGTTTATGTGCTCTCAGAATGATATGATAATTCATATAAATTCCAAAGTGCAGTTAGTAATCCAGCTTTAAACTATATAAAAATAATTGTCAAACTAAATACAGTGGACCCTCGACTTACAGACGGCTCCACTTACAGACTTTTCAAGTTACAGACTTCTCTGGCCGCAAAATTTAAGTTCGACTTGCAGCTGGAGAATCAACCTAGAGACCGGGGAAAAAAACCCAAAATGGCACAAAAACGGCCAGTTACGGGATTAATCGGGAGACCGGGAAAAAAACCCAAAATGGCACAAAAATGGCCGGTTACGGATTAATCGGTTTTCAATGCATTGTAGGTCAATGGAGACTCGACGTACAGACTTTTCGACCTGCAGCCACCGTTCCAATACGGATTAATTCCGTAAGTCGAGGGTCCACTGTAGTTCAGTTCCTTCTGATCTAGTTTCCTTTAAACTTACCCAGCCCCCCCCTTTTTTTGTCAGAGTGTGGGTTTGGAAAAAAAATACCTTTATAAAAACAAATATAAAGGAAATTTGTGAATAGCACTGTGCCACTGGTAAAAGCACACAGAATGGCCAGAAAATCTAGCAAAATTGGAAACACTGATATGGAACCTGTAAACATGAGCTTTGAAAATCAGTTACTAAAATAGTTCTTGGCTAATGTTGCCCAAGTAAGTCAAATACAAAAAATGAAAATATTCTATTGCAGGAGTCCCCAACCTTCTTCACCCCACAGACCGGCTGGGGAAGGCAGGGCACCCCCCGCGCTCATGTGCATGCATGAACTAACGCGTGCTCATGCACATGCGCAAATGGTGGTGCGGCACTTGTGTGGGTGCTCGTGTGCATGCACAAATGGTGTGGCGCTCGCACGGGTGTGCTAAAATGTATGCACATGCGCAAATCAGCTGTGTGGGGGTGAGTGCATGTGAAGGGTGGGGTGGGAGGTCTGTCTCCGCGGGTTCTTCCAGCTCAGGCCTGGACCGGCACCAGGCCATGGACCAGGGGTTGGGGACCTCTGTTCTATCGGACGCAGCCAGACAGAAAGGCCCCCTGAAAGTAAAAAGAGGCAAAATCCTAAGAGGACACTAATCCAATCAAGGGTATCATGAGAAAACTCCTTTATTTCCATGAAGAGCACCAACATTTTATTAATCTTTAATCAAAGCTAAAAACAACTTGATCACATTCTGTTCCATAATTTTCTGGAATAATGTATTTCAATGCTGTGTTCAAATTTAAATTTCTTTACTATAATTTGTCTGTATTGTAACTCATCAGTATGATACTTTTTAAAAAATGAATTAGGTGAGTGGTAGAAATGGGCACAAAGCTTGGTTCGGAGGTTTGTGCTGGTTCAGATGTGTGGTGCCCTTCTCCCACCTCCCCAGCCAATGACTCGCCAGACAGTGCATGCTTCTGCCCTCCTCCTCTTTGGCTGTTCAACCAGTCTCTGGCAGGAGCACAGGCTTCCCTACCCTGCCTCCTTGGCTGATCACCCACTCAGACAAGGAGTCAAGACAGGCAAATCCATGCTCCTGCAGGGGACTGGTCGAACAGCCAAAGAGGAGGAGGAGGAGAGTATGCTCTGATTGCTGAACGGGTTATTGGCCAGGGAGGTAGGGGAAGGGAACACGCTGTGGTGCCACATGTACAACCTGGCACAAACCTCTGAACCAAGGTTTGTGCCTATTTCTAATGAATAGTTTAAAAAAATGATTAAACAGAGAAAAAGAGAAAGACAGTGAGATATATGACCTCAGAGATGTCTTTCCAGAAGCATTGTACAGCTATTGTCTTTCCAATACTGGAAATTAAGAGAAAAGAGCTATTCAAGGAGGGTATTAAGGGAGTAGTGTGGGAGGGGCTGACAGTCTGAAGGATCTACATCTTTCCTAGCTCCTCAACATGCCCGAAACTGTAATTCGCAAGTCAGATGGTGCCCCCTGGAGTAGGCACAGGCTAATTCCTTCCTGCTGAAACCAATCCATTAAAAGATAAGGGGGAAACAGAGTTGCACATTTTTTCAAAGTGAAAAAATGCCACTACTTCCCACCATCTTGGTGCTATTTTTTACGATGGAAAATGAAATAAGAATGTAATAAATAAACTAGAATGACTTACTGTCTGTAAGTGGTGTGAAGGTAATGCATACCCAGTTTGATGTATTATTTTGAAACTCAGTTCTGACCCTCAGAAAGGAAGAACCATATATTTGAATTCTTGAAACATTACATTCTGTGACTTCAGTTCTGTTGCACAAGTCAGTGAATGTATTGTCATAATCTCTGTGAAAAGAAAGATTTAATATATGAAAACAAGGATATCACTGTTAAAGTCAAGCACTAGATTATGGTGTTATTTTTCATTCTTACCCTTCTGTATTTGAATTTTGTTGTTTAAAAAATCTGAAAACAATTATTAGACTTGGTTACAAAATTAACCATACACTCCCCTGCCTTACCAACTTCAGTTGGGATTACTCCCATATAAGTGGGTACAGGTTTAAAGCCTTAATCGTTTAATTCTACACTTACATTTTACTTTGTGAATTAGAATTTTATGTTGAAAAACACTACCTTTTGATACGTGATAAAACCAAATTAATTTTTGGTTCTACTTCATTTCAAATTTCTGTTCAGCCCCACTGGCTCACTGACTAGGTCACATCTTTCTTATTTATGAAATCAGATCATTATAGACTTAAACTGCAGTTTTAAAAGAACATCTATGTTCCTAAAATTACTTATGACATGATTATATCAGGTGTATTCTTAAACTTTAAAAGTAGACTGGGTTTCCTGCAGATATTTCATGCTTACCCTTCAGTTTGCCTCCAAAGACCAGAAACTTTGAGTGATGCAAAAATGTCACAGCATTAAAAGGGTGTCTTAAAAGATGGGCAAATAGAAACACAGGCTTTCTATGAAAATCTAGGTATAATTTAGGATGCCAGTCTTGTTCTAGACTAGGGTAGATCAAATATAATCAGCGGGCCATATGCAGCGCCAGCATCATTTTTGTGCTCACAGCACCAATATATTTTTGCTCAGAGGGTACCTTTGGAGGGCATTTTTTTCATATTCTCATTTTAATTTTTAAAAGTAATTTTTTTTCATCATGGCACTTAAGGGGATTTTTCAGTTTTAAAATCACTTTTCTCTCTTTCAAGGTGTTTCTGTGGTAAGAGACAGGAACCAGTGGGAAGGAAAATGCAGAGAGGTTTCAAATAAAAGACACTGCCAGCTCAATATCACATAAAATTTCAAGAATGGGGCAGTAAGATTACACAATTAAATAACAAAAACAACTTTATCTAGAGGCACTGTAGATCATGTGCAGCATGAAATATGGGAAATGCAGTTGACCCAGACAACAAAAAAACAATGCGGCAAAGCAGAGTGATTGAAGGATGAATCACATGTTTTAAAGTGCACTGTAAGCACTGTAAGTGTTGTTTCACCATGGCAAACCCTAAAGCCTTTTAAGTGAAATCTCACAAACTCTCATTACCCCAGCTTCCAAAACGACAGCTTTTGAATCTTTGGGAGGATCGGTCTTTTGCGTGAGAGCAACATGTTTTCAACCTGAATGACCTCCAAGTGTTTACATCCCAATTCTCTTCAGAATCCTCATCTAAACTGCTTCAGGATCCTTGCTTGTCCATAATCCCACTTAGCAAAGATGGGGACTTGAGTTCCGGAACTCGCTGTCAAGTGGGACTTAAGTCGCAATGGTGACTCAAATCACAACTTGGAAAACACCCAGCCCCTCAGGTTTTTTTTTTTCTGGTGAAAAAATCTTGTTTGGACTTAAGGCTTGGGACTCAGATTCAAATATTTACCAATATCCCTACCAATTACAGTATTGTCCTGAATTCTCATTTGGGAGAATGACATAAAGTACCTCCTATTCTTTGCATAGAAGGGACTCCTATTTCTATTAGTTAAGCATCTCCCTGTTCAGCTAATCTAAGGCAACGGGGACATTAAAATTACGCTAAAGCCTGTTGTGGCGTCCACCCAGGTCATGAATATTCATATGCTATCTGCATAAACCAATGTGAGTGCTGGAGGGGTGGAATCATGAGATTTAAGTGACTCAGCAGGAGGAGGGGGAGTTTAGATAGAGAGTTAGGAGACGAGAGTTCGAGAGAGTGGAGGAGATTGGGAGGTTGAAAGTTTTAGAGTTTGGGTGGGAGAGGAATAAAGGAGAATGTTTGTTTAAGAATTAACAACACTGCTTATTCTGTCAACATCTGTAACAATAAACAATCTGTATTTGGTTCTTTTTAAATGACATATGGCCTGGACCTCAATTATTAGTAATAGGTAATGTTGATGTAACCAACTGGTGGCAGCTGAGGGGCATGTAGCGTGAGCTCTTAGTTTGGTGAAACAAATGGGCCACGTGGGGATCGTGACACATGTTTCCAATTACAAATCCCAATTAAACAAATTAACAGTAGCAATGTGATAGGGATGACACAAAGTTGACACACAAAAAGTAGTGGTCAGGGTATTCTTTCCTCCAATTTAGTACTTAAATTTACCCTGCAAGGATACTTTGTGTAGGGTGATCATCTGGTTCTTTGTGGTTGTACTGTGGTGACGTAGAGTATGTTCTGGGGTATATACTACCTTCAAATTAATCTTTGTGGAAAATACTCTCACTGGATTTATTTCAAACATAGATGAACTGTTGTGCATGACGCCATTAATGAACTCATGTGCAACACCGCTCCAACTTCTTAAAATAAATGTCTATCCAAATTTGTTTGCCAGTGAATTAACCGGAAAATTAGTCAATGAAAAAATAAGTTCCATATGGTTTCAGTTGTACATAAATTCACCAATAATGAACAAGGCAGCATAACAATGTAACATAAATATTTCAAAACAATATTACTAAAATTATTAGGCAGTTTCCTCACACATACTTCCTATGTTGAACTCTGTAAGTGACATTTTCTTTGTGAAAGTTAGGTGGATCCCATTGGAGAATACTCTCAAGCATATCTGAATGAACTCTGAGATTTTGAGGTTCTGGTACGATTCCATAGGCTGCAATGTATAAACATAACATGCTGTTAATACATACATTTCACTTTTTTAGTCAAATTCTTTCACTAACTGCATGGAGCTCATGCCTTTAAACATGCATAATATATAACTGATTAATTCTTTGAGCAGACTCCTCATACACACAGTGGTAACAAATGTACATAAAGATACCATAGCATAGATAAAATGATGATACATTCTCCTGTACTTCTGTTCAGCCTGAAAATGAGTCAAACCAGTCGTGCATTTTCCGTAAAGGACATTTTTACTCAGTCTTGGAAAATACCATGAATATTAAAGATGCTACAGGATATTCGCCTTTCATCCTGTATAAATCAAGTCAATTTTTTTTGCTATGATTTGAAGGTATTTTAAAAACTTTATTAATAAGTGTATGCCTTGGTTTTATAATAAAAAAGAGTAAAAATGGCTTATAAAATATATAAATAAATAAAGCAACCCACTATTAAGAATAGATTAGCCATCCTTCAGTCTCAAGAGACTATGGTAGCGTGCTCTGTATGGAGGACTTGGAACAGCAACGCTGTATGCGAAGCTAGAGTGTCTTCTCGGGAGCACGAAGCCTGGGTAAAATAATCTGGATGATAGGCTGTTACCCAAGCAGCAAATCCTCCCTCTCCACGTCGCTGAAAGAGTCCAATGGAAAGGCAAGAGCCAATACAACTGGTTCCTGCAATGTTGCAGGAGTTACCAGAATGACACAAACTGCCTCCGGGACTTCGGCTCTGGATTTTGCCTTGAGGTTAACTCCTGAAGCCTTTTCCATCGGTGGATATAGCCACAAGGCAGTGGAGGTTTGAAATTGGAGTTTTCCTTCTCCTTATTAAGGAGAACTATTAAGAATAGTTCCCAAATAAAAATGGCATGATAGAGCAAAATTTAAAGGAACCTGGACCAACAATCAATAAATTAAGCATAAACAGAATCAATAAATTAAGCAACAAAGCAAAAGGAAAGGAAAGTATGCTGCTTATATTCTGCCTCATAGTATTTAAAGCACTCTCTGGGCGGTTAACAATTTTTTTCTACAGGGTACACACACACACACACACCCCGGTAAGCTGGGTACTCAATTTGTCAACCTTGGAAGGATAGACAGTTGAGTCAACCTTTCCCCCCTCCCCGTAAGCTGGGTACTCAATTTACCAAACTTGGAAGGATAGACAGTTGAGTCAACCTTGAGCTAGCTACCTGAGTCCAGGATCAAACTCAGGTCATGAGCGGAGTCTTGACTGCTGCAGTACTGCAGTTTAATCACTGTTCCACAAGAGTGGACAATAACAACACATACATACTCAGGGCTGGTCTTATAACAGTGGTGTTGAACTGTGGCCCTCCAACTGTTCTTGGACTTCAACTCCCAGAAGCCTTCACCACCACCTCTGCTGGCCAGGATTTCTGGGAGTTGAAAGCCAAGAACAGCACACTCAGGGCTGATCTTATAAGCTATTTTTTCATTTAGGTAGCCTAACTAACAAGATGGATACTGCAGATTCTACAGACTGAGCTATTTTAGGTAGCCTAAGTAGCAAGATGGATACTGCAGATTCTACAGACTGCATAGTAGACAATTGCTGTTGTAAAACACAAGAATATGACATAATTTTTCAAGATAATATTTCTGTTCAGCCTGAAAATGAATCAGCAGTGAATTTTCCAAAAAAGAAACTTTTATGCAATCTTGGAATCTACTGCAAACATTAAAGGAACTATGACTCACCGAAGCACTTGACTAAGCACACTAGTTTCTTTATGGACAGCAGTTGCTGGTTTACTGGATTTAAAAAAAAACATCTCAGCTACCACAAAAGTGTAAACTAGAAAGTGTTCCATTTTGACATCAAAATGTTCTGTTACAGTAAAGGAAACATAGATAGTACTTGGATCCTGAAAGCCATTTTCATGATCCTTCCTGTCAGGTTAGAATGATTAAATACAGTGGCATTGGATAGTATTTGATGGTTTTTTAAAAATTGAAAATGTCAGTGGAACATAGTGGCCACAGTCTAGCCACCTTTTTAGATACTTTTAAGACATTTACTTCAGTAGATTTTTATTGCAAATAAATGTACTTTAGATCATAGCCATTTATGCTGCTTTCAAAGTGCAAAAACACTCTCAAGAAGTGAGATTTAATAATGGAACTCAGGTCCTTTCAGTAGGGAACCTGTAATTTTTAATTTCTCCTAAATTGCCATGGTTACAAGTGATGCCAATAGATTTCAGCCATTGTAAAAAAAAACTTTTGCAAGGCATTCTTCTATGTAGGGCTTACAATTTAACGATGTTTAGCTGTGGCATTGTTTCCTTGAAAAACTTCAGTGGAGCTTTAACTACTGACTGTGTTAGGGGAAAAAAAAGATGAGATTAATTTATTGGTACCTTAATATTGTTAAGCACCTGCTAAGACCTGTATACTATCTGAGGGTCCTGTACTATCCCCAGAAACATCAAACCTAACTTCCTGCTGTCCTCCCCCTCCCGGTTGTTATTTCTTGCTTGCTCCTTCCCTTTTCAAGCATGTAAGCAATGATATGAGTCACTGGAGCAACAACCTCCACTCCCCAGTGGTGTCTCCACTGCCTGTCAACAATGCCCAGTTTGCCCCAGAGGAGAAATCAGGTGACTGGGCAGTGGTGACAGTGGCAAGGAGACATACCAGCCAACTCAGAGAGGGAAACTCTACTGAAGGGAACTTGTCAAAAGGTCATATGAAAGCCTCATGCCAACACTGCTATCAAGTTATCAGGAAAAATGAATAATTAGTTTAACTGTCACCAACTGAGAGCCCCTAGATGTGCTGGACTACAACCCCCATTCTTCTTATATACCACAGGGATAGCTGCATTAAATTCTTGTCATTACGTATTGTCTGCTCAGAGAAGCTGATGGCTGAACTTCTCCCTAAGAGTCCTATTGAAATACAGTGGTGCCTCGCTTAGCGATTGCTTCGTTTAACGATGTATTCGCTTTGCGATGGGTTTCTTTGAGAAAATTTCCCCATCATTTAACGATGTTCTCTATGGGGGAATTTCACTTAACGATGTCTGTTTTCGATCATTTAAAAGTGTCTTAAAATGTTTGGAACATGTTTTAAATGCTTGGATTCGGTAGTCCACCTTGTGAAACCTATGCACACTTAGTTTGGTTTTGTTCTGAGTCTTCGTTAATTTTTGGTGATTTTTTGTTTT